AAATATTCAAATAAAAATTGAAACTTCAGTCAAATTTAATTTAATTTAATTTAATTTAATCATTTATTTTCTGACTGACATTGCTTTAAGGACTGATATGGTTCTTAACTTCATAAGTTTTTCTCAACTCAGAGCTGCATTTGGCTCTAGGATGTTTTGTGAACATGGCCTCCGGACGTTTCATGCACTATTTAACACTCAGACACTCCAAACAATCTCACACACCCACCTTGTGTTTTTCAAGGAACTCTGGCGTTAGAGTCCAGGGTGCGTCTCTCAAAACCTCATCGACGTAGCGGCAGTGTCTCAACGCTTCGTAACGTTCCTGCTCTGTCATGACTGTGAAACCTTTGTACTTATGGGTCAGCTCATCGCTGCACACTGTTGGGAAAACATGTGGAAGGGAAACTCATCAAAACACGCATTAAACGCTTTAAACCACATCAGCTAGGTAAATGTGTGCAGGCTTGTCTGGGTAATCTTACCTCCTACTATGAGGTAGGTGTTGGGAAAGAGGTTCTTGGCCTGCATGAGAGCACGAGCATGTCCGGAGTGGAAGAGGTCAAAGATGCCATCGGCGTAGACTCTGACTGGCCGGTCAACTAAAAATACACAGCGGTACAACAACACAGTCACAGATAAGCACTATTATCTCTGTATTAATGTAACAGCTGTAACAGTAGCAGCTCATGTTGAGCCAACATCCTCAAACAAAGAGGAGGAGCACGCTCCATAAGTCAAGTAAGCTCCTTCTTTCTAATTCCACATTCTCAGATTGTATTTATTTTTGACAATATTGTTCTCTACAGAGCTACAAAAGGCTTTTTTAGATGCAGATGCAGTAGTACCCCCAAAAACCATTCAGTGACCTCTTGTACCCTATGGATGGAAGCATTGTCATCCTGTAAGAGATCACTCCCATCAGGGTAGAAATGTAGAAAGGCGTACAAGCAAAACGCTCCTTAAAGCGTAACAGAGTGACCAGAGCCAAACACTGTAGGGGTCAAGAGTTTAGATATTTCTTTTCATTTGTCACTGATAATAAAAGAGAATCCAGCTTGACATCTTTATTGACCTTTACCAGACTTTAAACAGCAACATAACTTCCCCTGGAACAAGTTAATACCATCAGCATTTGCATTAACATACTGATTCAAATGTGTTTTATAACTTACATGACACCTATTTTGCCAAATTACTATCATTTGTTTGTGCTGCAATCATGTTGGAATATCAGTAATTCATGTAGTGGTGCAAGTCCAAGAGTGCATGGGAATGGAGTCCTATTGCAGCTAAGTAGTGGCGCCTGATAGTTATTATAATAGATCCAGTGGTTGGAATATAGTCATGGTTGTACTAGTGATTGTGGAATTAGCATTAGAATTGAGAGTAGTTGTTGTGATAGTGATGCTGTAGAAGTGGCAACAGTAGAAAGAGTGGTAGTAGAGGTAGCTACAGTAGGGGCAGTTGTACTAGCAGTAGTTGGAGTACAGTAACAGTATACAGTTAAATAGTTAGAGGGAGGTGGATGAAAATGATAAAAGATGACCATTAAAGCTGGGGGAAGGTCACGTACGTATGAAATGGGAGGAAGAAGGAAACCCAGCGGGAGGAGGTTTACCTGGGGTGCCTCTGCGAGCCTGTGCAATGGTCAGTTTCTCGTGAGGGGCGCGACAATCACAGCTGGTCTCCCTGGCAAAGATGGCCGGCTCTGTGAGAGTCTGAGACAGAAAGCGAGTGGGTTATGGAGAGAAGGAACAAGGAGGCCTGAGGGGGGGTATTTACAGCATCCAAAATACATGGACACCCTCTAGACAGAAACATTTATCACTTCTGTCGTACACAACATGCCTCCCTATACACGCCAGTTACAGTAACCTCCGTTATGTTATTGACCACAGCTGATGCCTGCTCCATATTTATACAGTAGAATAAGAGAGAGACAGAACTGCACTGTGTTATTGATCCCTGAGTGTGGGAGTGCAGACATTTACCTCCCTGCTACCTATGTGTGTATTAACATGGGACAGAAATTAAGAACAGCGCTATCGATCTGTTGTCAGAGGCCTCTCAGGAGTTTGCTGAAATGCAAACGTAAAAAGTCAACTCATGTGGTAAATTGGACAGCGCAAGCACAATTATCAGTGGGATATGGAAACAAAAACAAACAGATCAAGAGATAAGAGATGGCGCTTGTTAGTAAGTGTCAAAGCTACATCAAGGTTAAAGTGTTGCAGCGTGAGCCTGCCTGAAAATCTGTGTGTGTGTGCCATCTGTTGACTGCGGGGAATATTCGCTGAAACCCATTCACGCCAGTGAAAGGGAAGCAGAGTCGGTGCAGAGCAGAAAGGTGTGGGAGTGTGAGAGGGAGGGAGGAAAAAATGGAAACAGATTCGGTCTCTGTGGACAAAAACAGGCACCTGACGTCAATATATCCTCTAGGAATGGCAACACAACAGAGTCTGGCGTGGCAGGATATAGACAAGGACAAACCAGAGAAAATGGAAGGAAGAAAAGTGGTCGAAACAATCAGATGTCAAAGCAGTAAAATAAGAGAAAAGACTTTATGAATGACACTTAATAGATGAAAATACAGAGCTAAAAGGCAGATTTTACACAGTCCTACTTCACCTAACCCAAGTAGTCTATGTCCATAAAGATGATTTTGATAATTGGTATGCGCGTTTCTCCACTTTCATTTTATAGGAGGGCGTGACCCCTCATTTTTGGGGGGACTGTATCATTAATTAAATTGTTAGATGCTGTTTTCTCAGCAGATGTTGAACTATCATTAGGATCAGAAGTCGGAAATGCTCTTTTCTGCATGTTCAAGTTGTGTATCTAAGTCTGACTGGTGCACCAGTACAAACCACAGCTACCTGTTCAATAGCAGCTGTGAAAGTCATGCTGTTAACCGAGCAGTATACCTTCATTAAAGAGTTTTAGCGTGGCACTGTGGTGCAGCGGCTAACTTGAGTGGTTGACCCAAATGTAATAGGAGTGAAGGTCAGATGTGCTGTTGGGATCTTGGCACGCCAGGGGGTTAGTCCAGCCCAACAGTCTTCAGATTTTAACCTGATAATTGTGCCATTTTCAGTAAATTAATATAAAATGTGAGACACGGTGCTCCAGGCAAAGTAAGGTCATCCCATTTTCTTTCTATGCTCAGCCTATGTTCCACATTAATATCACAGTGAGTGCAAGTGAGTGCATGTTAGCTGGATCAGTGGTTCTCAAACTGTGTGCCTTGGAATTAGTCTTATTTATGATGACTTACAGGGTTCAAATTATATTTTAAGGTGTGCCTTGGAAATACTTACATTTTATTTCATCGTAATTTGGATGCTTGACCCTTTAAACAATCCAGAAGAACAAATGTATGAACTACTGATGGGACAACATTCATCCATAAAGCCCCATAACAAAGAGATAAGTAATAATAATCAGATTCAACTGCCGCCTGTGTTGCTGGAAAAAAAAAACTCTGTCCATGTTTCCCCTGATGATAACTGATCCAACTGAAGCTACATACAATAAAACAATAAAGCAATAAAAGGTGAATAACGTCTACTGAGCTATCTGTTAGTATATTTTATTAGTTACTTCAATGATAAGAGAGGACATGTTCTCCATAGAGAAGCATTCATAAACGCAATAATGGTCATATATTTTGCTGTGACTGTGACACGGCACCTGGCATGACAGTCTCGTGCAAACAGGTCAGACGTTTAGGTAAAGATCAGCAGCAAAGTAATATTCCAATGTTTTTGATCAACTATATCATATTATTGATGAAGACTTTACTGCATGATCAGAATGTGGATGAATTTATCAAGGGCAGGTTTTTAAGATAATTTAGATATTTTTGAAGAAAAAAAAAAACACAAAGAAAAAATTGGGATCCAGGGCTAAACATTCAGGGCCATGGCCTTCGATGCCCAGGCCTAACAACGCCACAGGTTATGGGGTTATTTGCAAATTCAATTCAATTCAATTCAATTTTATTTGTATAGCGCATATTTACAACAACAAGTCATCTCATAGCGCTTAACAAAGGCAGAAACACCCAACAATCCAAAACATTTGGATTCCCTATAACCTTCAGCAGTCTGCAACAGTGGGAAGGAACCGAAAAACCCCGTGGGGGAAAAAAAAAACCTCCGACAGAACCAGGCTCAGGGAGGGATGGCCAAATAAATGATTATTTTGGAAAATAATATAAAAACTACTGCACTTGCAAAAAAAAAAAATAAATCCGAGTGAAACACTACAGGTTGAGTAAAAACAGAAGCTATTGTTAAGGACATAGCTAACTTCAAGTAATTACTCTCTGCCTTTATAGTGTTTGACATTAATGCAGATCAGGATATTTGTTCTTCTGCACTTGATTGGCTCCTGATCCTGAGGCGTCACTACCCACCCAAAGCACCAAGGCTCCTGATTGGAGCAACAACTTGGGGGGGCCAGAAATCCTTTTGATGAAGAAAGAAACCTGCTACATTTCACTACTGATTAACCTATTAGATGTCTGCATTGCATATGTAAGTGTTTATGCCTCTGGTGACCCCAAATAACCCCAAATTTTCAAAGTGGAATTCTTTGTGTAGATTTTCCTCACATTTAACAACATACATTTAGAAATATGTTATACAAAATCACAAAACAGAAGCTAGACTTAATCCCAAGATTACTTCATAACACAGGATGTCCTTATTTTTGTCATGGCAACACTTTTACTTGTCACAGCAGGAAAAGCACAAGTGAAACTAATTCCCTTGACAGTGGCTCAGATTCATGAAGTGTTGCAACAAGTTAAGACAGTTGGCCACCAGACGAAATACCAGGATCTCCCTTAGGTGGAAGGCACCCATGATTAATACACTTTTGCTTTTCTTTTCATGACAAGTCAAACGGTCGGTTGTGTCGAGTAAACTAGCACAAAGCAGAGTCTGTGGCAAAACTATGAAGCTAATTTGCCATAAATGCAAATAGTGCTGCAGGTTGCCATAAATTAACCAGCAGCACTGAAAACAGTTCCTCTGTCATCCAACTCTGCAATACAAGCAACAGCATACTATTTGTACAGGTTGCATCCCATTTTCAGGAACAGGCCATGGATCATTTTTCTCTGATGAGCAAACATCTGGAAGGTGCTACGTTTTTATTGCAGTCAGTTTAACCAACATTGTTCCGTTCTGTGTCCTATAGCATTTTAAACAGCACAAAATATATTCTTTGTGTTATTATAGTGATACTTGGAATGCAAGTTTTACCTAATTTCACGAGGATTGCTTATGAACAAATTCTAATCCATCCATCCATCCATCCATCCATCCATTATCTATACACCACTTAATCCTCACTAGGGGGCTGGAGCCTATCCCAGCGAAGGCAGGGGACACCCTGGACAGGTCACCAGTCTATCACAGGGCCACACTTAGAGACAGACAACCAAGCACACTCACATTCACACCTACAGACAATTTAAAATCACCAGTTAACCTCAACATGTTTTTGGACTGTGTGGGAGGAAGCTGAAGAACCCATAGAGAACCCACGCTGCACGGAGAGAACATGCACACTCCATGAAAGATCCCGGGTGTCCTCACCAGGACGTGAACCTTCTTGCTGCGAGGCAACGGTGCTAACCGCTGGTCCGGCTTGCAGCCCACAAATTCTAATCCCTAAATATAAATTTTCACAAGAGTGACTGTACACAAGACCCGCAGAGAGGTCTAACAGGGAGTGTGACTGACTCTGCAGTCTGACTGACTCCAAAACAATGAGTAAGTAACGTCACTGTGTAGGATAACATACTGCACACTGCTCTGACTGTGAACCCGTAGCCCATATAACATCCTTGTTAGCACGATAACGATGCTTTGCAGTCTTTTTCATATATTGTCACGGTTATCAAATGATCCAGCCCAGTTTAAGGGAAAGGGAAAGGAAGGGACACTAAATCTATACTTTCCACATGTTGTGTTTTAACACTGTCAAAAGAAGCACATCATTAAAAGGCAAATATTGGGTTGATTAGATAATAATTAACATCATTCCAGCACATGCAGAAATGTGGTTTGTGGGAAGTAAAACCAATTTCAACAAAGAGTTTAGAAAAAAAAGAAGATTTCATTCGACATTCTGGCACAATCTGAAACTGCAGACACACACTTTTAATTGTGTAACTGAATACTATTGTTGTTGACAATGCATACAAGCACATTACCCTTACTGACAACACTGCAGCGAAGGAGCGTCTGCTAATAGAGTTTGTTAGATTGTCAGTTTGAATTACCTACGAGAAGCTGCAAGGTAGACACTTCCTGTAGATGCACAAGAGGTAAAGAAAGCACCACCAGGATTGAAAGGCAAATGTCACAATGTGTCCTTTAGTCAGCTGTGGTAGATCAATTGCAATTTGATTATATGGATCGCTGGGGGGGAAGAAATGCAAGATGTGAGGAGCAGATTAGAGGTGTGGAGCTATTTTTGTTGTGGATGAGTCAAAAGTAACAAGATATAAAGCAGGCAGAGGAGAGGAAGGTAAAGAGTTACAGGTAAGATGATGCCATAGATGTGTGGCTCCTTTAATGGTGTACTATTTATTGATTTGCACACGCCTCCCCTGGTTTTCAAATTGGCCTTTCGTTAGGTCATGCTAAGCACTTCGAAACCGACCAGTAGCCACAACAGCGTGCAGATGGAGCAACCTGATCACCTGGGATTCCTCGGGCACAACAGAGAGGTAGCGGACAAACATTTAGCACAGAGCAGATGGTGAAGCCTAAACTGTGATCAGGAGTGCAAGGGGCCTATCAGGACAGGCGGCGTGAGCGTGCTCCGTAAAGCTCGCTCTGGCACAAGCAGAGAACATCTGGCATAAGAAGGATTAAAGGTAAAAAAAAAAAAAAAAAACAGAGAGAAACACAGGGGGCACAAGTAAAGACGAGGCACAGGAATAGAGACAGGCTGGAGAGAAGACAGAGGCGAGGAAGAGAGGAAAATGGAGTGTTTGGAGGAGGAGGGGGGGACACACAAGTGCCAGGATTAGGAATTACACCAAAGAAGATAAGAGCGATAAGAGAAAGAGAGTGTATCCAAACACAGGAGACTCTGTCTTCACTGCGGCAATGTCCTCTCAGCGGGACGTTCCTGCTGTGTTGTCTGCTGTGCAAACCCCTTCCTCCTTTGGCAGCACCTTCAAACACACACTGCCCACTCAGCACTCTGAGCATCTCCCACAGTCTCATGCTATAGGGGATCTGTTTCGTAACAGGGGAGGAAGCAGCACCCTTTGTCTTCCCCTCTCGCTCTCTCCGTATCACACACACTGCAAGACACACACACAAAAAAAACAGCACACAGATGCCCTACCGTCCGTGGATGAGGGCAGGTGTGTTCGAGCTCCTCCATTATTCCCAAAGACTCATGGGATGCAGCTGTGGTCCCTCAGTTATGTGACTCAGCATCAGTGAGACGGTGTTTCTCTCCTCACCACTCTGTCTCCTCTGTTTCCCCCACCCACTCTCTGCTCTGCCTCTCTGTCTGTCCTCTCCTCCCTCCTCCTCCTCCTCTCTGATCCCCTGCTGCACAGAGGAGGAGGCATGAAAGAGGTCTCACTCTTTGGGTATTTCTTTGTACCACGACAAGGATGTTGTCATTTGAGCTTCAACATCTGGATCAACCACTTGTACAATATACAGTATATACTTAGATATTTTTACAGTTAACTTCTATTAAGTTCTAATCAGATCTAAGTGCAAACAAAGCTGAACACATGATCGTCACAAGAGCCAAAAACATTGATTTTGACAATCTGGGAAGCTCTACTCTGAATGGTACGAATATTGGATAACTTCACGAATACTATTATCTGCAAATTTGGATACATGAGAAGCTGTCTTTCAAATGTCACGCATCCACACTGGTGACTCCCTAACTATGCTTGTTGAGGCCAGTTTTCTTATTTTATACATTCATGCAACAGTGGCCACTCTTAAACCCTTAGACACTGTTTATAGTTTTGCGTCATGAGTTATCACAGGTAATAATTATGATACCATCACTGTGGACTGTATGCGAACTGTATGTAACTGGCACCCTCCCTGTAAAAAAATAGGATTTTTTTGCAACTGTTGTAACTGTAATCTTTGGAAAAATTTACTGTTACTTTACATATGTCTTTGTCTTGTTAAATTGCAGAAAACATCTAGTAAACTAGCAAATAAAAATAATAATTTACATGTTGACCATAAGAACTGTAAATAATGTCCACGTTTAAAATCTGCATCTTTTCAAATGATAAAGACGGTGCAACTATTGACAATAAAATCAGACTTTAGTTTTTTTTTTTACTGCATTTACATTAGCAAAAATATATATTGTTATTGTTCTACAAATATCTGCTGGTTTTTTTTTTTGTTTTTTTTTTTTTTTTACCATTTTCACAGTTTTTTTTTTTGAATGCTTTTGGTTTGTTTGGTTTTTTTTAAATTTCTTATTATTTATTTTTTTGCTGTTTAGGCACATTTATTTATAAGGCTCTTTTTTTCTTCTTCTTTTTTTTCACATCCTTACATTATCTCATCATAATTTATTAATGTGGTGCTCACAACATGCCCAAATGAAACCCTAGCCTGCAGGACAATCTAAAGTTGGACTCACTTTTATCCTTAAGTCAACTGAGGTTTTAAACTGTATCTTATTTTATTCCCTACTGCTTTTGTTTTAGTTGATTTATTTTTTTGAACTGCAAATAAAACAGAGCAGCCATGTTTATATACAAATTAAAAGACTAAATTAATTATGCTGACATTTGTGTAAATGCTTTTCCGTTATTTCACTCTATAGGAAAACCTACTCTGTAATAAAGCTGATTCTGATTTGCATTTAGCTTGTGTCTATTGACAATTTACCAAACAGCAGGAGTTTTGTAATGCCACAAATAGCCCATCACAGATATGTTCACCTAAACAAACAAAGCAGTCGATCTATTATTGTGCTATTTTGCTAATTATTACACGAGGAGTAAATGTCTAGAGCTGGTGTTAGATAATTATTAGACTGTTTACCTGCATAACTGAACTCTGTCACGGTTTTGTGAGCTGTGAGTGAGTCTCTGTCTCTATAAACGATCTCCGTGTGTTCTCTGACTCTCGGCAGAGCGAGAGGAACTCTCTCCATGGCGACGGAAAAGAGGAGAGAGCTTCAAGGAGGAACCAATCAGAGAAGAGCTCGGGCAGTCCAGCAGTAAGAACACTGGGGATTGGTGGAGTCTCCCATCGCACCATCACAGACTGTATCCATCAGCGAAAGACGGCACTGAGGAGCACCGCTGTCCACTGAAGCAGCTGATGTGGCTTTAACACGAACTGAAAGAGTTTTGCATTGAACAGTTGACTATAAATCGCTATTTAATAAGAGATTTCAGCAGTTTGGGGAAAAATATTGACAAGAGCAGGTCACATTCCAGAGTTTGATATAAAACGTGTTTGGTAATCTCTGGCGCACTTTGACAGCGCATGAATAGCTAATTTGTTGATCTGTTAAGTGTCTCTTATTGTATCGATTTGAAAGTTTAACTGCCCTCTTGGCTCACAGTCACACCCTATTGTGAGTTAGACCACTTAACAGATGTGCCAGTCAAAAATACAACCTACTTACTGTATTTGGCACAGACATCCAGATTGATGTTAGCTGCTTCAACTTACTACTTTTTCTGTGCAATAGTTTGGTGAACTTGAAGCACAGCAAATAGACAGTAAATTATGAACAATGTAAAAGTATCATTTTAATGTTTGGGAAGTGATGTTTTGCTTACCTTCAGTGATCCTCTTCTGCAGCAAAAAGGCGCGACTGCTGCGCAACAGGAGTGCGCTCTGACGCGCCTCTGCTTCACCATGGTGCCTAAAACCAAGCAACTCCAATATCGATTTGATTACCGCTTGATTCTCCTTCCGATTTGCTCGTTTAGTCCAAGTCAGGGAGTTGTCTGTTAGTGCTCTCCGGCGCAGCAGGAAGGAGCAGCAGAGTAACGCCAGCCCGTCTGTCCAACGGACGCATCAGCTGCTCACCGCTGATAAGCTGCGACAACTGTGGGCCACAGTCCATACAGCAGACCTTACAGTAGACCATATGGCTACCAGCCTATACATTCATTCTTCCTATTGTGTCAATGCAAAGGACCTAAATAAATATGCACCATAATTTAGAAAATTGAATGTCATGTGTCAAGAAACAACAACAAAAAAGAACATTAATATTAAATTAATGACATATATTAACCCAAAAGCACAGCTCAGATTGCACATAAATACATAGTTTTAGCCAGTTGACAACAAAAACTATTTGTTTTCTAAAGTTATCAATGCAATCAATAAAAATGTGCCTGTAATGGTCTATACTGTAGGTCCATAGGAGCAGGCTGATCAGGCTGCCACATTGATTCAGGGTATAGAAAGCAAAAGCAGGCTGTGGGAGTGAAGGACAAAACATGCTTTGTATTTTCATTATTGGATGCACTGTGTCTCTGTGGCCTCAATCTGGGACAGGAATCTATTGTGCCCTCTATAGACCCGCCTGGTTTCTATGGAGACGAACTGCATCGGGGTACACAGGCACTGACTCTGACTTTGAAACAGGAGAGAAGTGACCTAACGGTGTAATCTGGGGATTTTTACTTGAAGGTAAGTATGTTGTGACAATAAAATCACTATATATATTCACTACGGACTCATTCTTTGGAACCTTATACAATTTTAACCAATAGGTGAAAGAGTCGGTGTGTTTTATTTGCTATATCTCTACTATATGTGGCTTAAAAAGTGGAAAACAGTTTTTATCTGCAGGAGACAATAAAACAGCAGTACTTTGGAAGGCCTATAAAACCAACTGTGATCCAGTGGCTGTCTACCAAAAAGAAACCAACCACTGTTGCTATTTGTTTTAAAGCAAGGACTTTGGTAATAAATAGAAACAAACTGAAGCATGATTAGAATGATCAGATTCATTTATTGCCTTTATTTATGTATTTATTTTTACATTTGATTGAGTCTGTCGTATACTTTTGTCACCTGTAAATGAAAATTCGCTAATATGTATCCGATTTTTTGGATTGTATTTTAAATGGTTTAGAAAGTTTCAACAGGCAAGTATCCCTAGGATAAATCCCTCTGTGTCACATTCCCTGTCAAGGAGTTAAACTCCTGAAGAAACTTGTGATAAATACTCAGATTTTTGTAGGTATTGTGATTATGTTGTGTTTAATATATTTTGTGTTTTGAATGTGAACTCTAAAGCCTCAAAATAACTTTCTATCAGTCAAATTCCAGAAGCTCTTAAAAAACCTCCCAGTACAGACAGACATTTGTGCAACAATAATAATAATAAACTAGAACTAAAAATACAGAGAATATAGGAGATGAAAACCTACGTGATCCCTGTGGTTGTTGGTGTGGTTGGTACAATAAAGAAGGGGGATGGTAGAAAACATCAAGAAAGTATCAGAGAGAGCTACAGTAGCAAAGACCCAAAAGATCAGCATGCTGGGATCTGCATGAAACCTCAACCTTAGTATATGAACAGAATTAATGTTGTAGGTACATGGTTTGGCTGAAGCACAAAAAGAACACCAGCAAAGACCGTGACAGAAGAGATACTGCTGCTACTACAACTACTAACAATAATAATAATTCTATATTATTGTTGTTGTGGTTGTTAGGATAGTAAGATTCAATACTGCTAATGATTCTGAAGTAGTAAAGTAAGATTACACATTATAATAAAATATTGCACAGTAAACTGAAACAGTTGTTGTAGCAATATTCTCAATTTGAGGAGCCTACAGTCGTCCTCAAATGTATTCATACCCTCCATTAAAGAAGGGGAAAAAAAGTTGTCATTGAAATAAGTTGAAATTGACAAAAGTAATAATAAATACAAATTTAAATTTACATTGAATTGTGGTTCAACAGAAATGTTTTAAAAAACAACAAACAAAACAAAAAGCAAACAAGCAAACAAAGCATGATGGGACCCGTTAACTAATATTTTGTTGAACAACCCTTTGAGCCAATCCAGTGTTTTCTGTAACTCTCAATCAGACTTGTGCACCTGTTGACAGGTATTTTGATTTTGGCCCACTGCTCATCAGCAAAGTGCTCTAATTTGTCCGGGACAGTTTTTTTAAAAAAAAATTCTTTTCAACCACAATTCAAAAGCAATGTCTTATTTCACTAAGTTATAATTTAGCATTTTTAAAGTTTATTAATACTTTTTTCATTTTCTATTTATTTGAGTGACGACTGTGATTTTTTTCTTTAATGGAAGGGAATGAATAAATTTGAGGACGACTGTATGTGAGAACAAACTATAGTGTTATATTGTGCAACAGTGCCACCGTGCGGACAGACTAAAAGCAGCATGTCATTGATTGGCTGACATTGCTGGGGCGTCACTTCCTACATATGACTTTCCCCGGGAAGGCGATTTGGCGCGGACTGCTCTGTTGTTGTGTTGACCTGTCGCCTACACGTTAAGAATCTGTCACCGAGCAAACCGTGAAGACAGCGACTCATGGCTCCGGTATCGAACCCTGACAAAGACATGGAGGTTCCGGACGGCGGTGAGTTTGGCTGCTTGTTAGTTGACTTTCGCGAACTTGCGCAGGAAAAGCGAAGGAGCTAGCTAACACGGCGGCTAGCTTACGTCGTCATAATACACCTGCTAACGGGCTTCGGCCATTAATTCTGAATGTGTCTTCGCTTTGGTCGACCGGTTAACTTTTTATGTTCTGAGTTCAGTGTTAAAAATAAAGAGAGGAGTAGATATAACTGAACTACAACAGAACGCCATGTTGGCTAACAGTACTGCGCTGCTATGATCGTCTGTTATTATCTTCACTTCAACCTTCTTGCTCCTGTGTACTCAAGAATTAATTCTAACACACACACAAAACAAATACAGCGAACTATAAGCACTTGGACGTCCAAATGGCAGCAAAACAAACACCGCAGTCGTTTCTCTGTAGATATAGTGGTGTGTTCGTAGGCCACCTGCTGCCTTGTCTTCATGATGCATGATGTGTCTGTCTCCTCAGACGATGGAGGAGATGCCTGTGGTCTGGCCAGGTCTCGCTCCAGAAGAGAGAAGCGGGAGAAGGTGGGGAGGAAGTCTGCACTGGAGCAGCTCAAGAAAGCCAAGAAGGGGGAGAAGATCAAATATGAGGTGTGTGCTTCTCTCTGTGTCATTATTGTGTCTGTGAGTCAACTTAATGAGTGACAGCGCAATGTTTCATGCTTATGTGTTCAAATTTGCTTCAATATTTAGATTTTATTGGCCCTCGTGTACACCAAGCAGCCTTTCTTTAAACAATATGTTCATGGATAGTTCAAGAAGAAATCAGTATTTCCACCTACATGTTTTAGGGGTCCACTGATATGACATTTTTCCAATTATTACCAACTATTTAGACTGATAACCAAGATCTGTAATAACACTAAAAATCTTTGTTGTCACAATTTATATTAGCACAAACTCCAACACAAAACTTTGTTGAAATGCTTTTATTTATTTATGTCTTTACATATATTAAATTAAAAGACTGCTGACTGCATACAGAGTGAAGCGGCTGCATTAGAGCCAAAACAACACAATTTATTTATTTCATATAGAGTTAAAAAAACACAACAATATCATTATTCAGAAAAATCCTAAATATCAGATATGATAATTGAGTCCACTCCGAATATGTTTGTTTTCCCATAAGAACAGTCGTTTTATGTTTTTGTTTCAGAAGAAGAAAAGAACAGTTGATCAATCATTAATCAGTATCTACTCTGATTGTTCCAGTTGTCATTCATAAAATCCATATCTGTGCTGTTTACTGCTGGTTATGTATCTGTTATCATCTTTAGGTTTAAGGGCTGTTGGTCTGTTTCAGTGAAATTTTGTGGATGAGTTTTACCAATTTTTCCACATTCTTCCACAGCCTACAAATCATGCACGCCAAACTTTTAGGAATATGTGACACAGACAGCAGCAAAAGTCACATCATTTGTTGCGCAAAAGAAAAATGGCTGTCATGTTTAAAATGTTTTTTTTGCATATTGTTCACCCCTACTTTATATGTGATGGTTAATCAGTGTTCATGTTTTCCAGGTGGAAGAGATTACCAGTGTATATGAAGAGGTGGATGAGGCGCAGTACTCAAAAATGGTACAAGAGAGGCAAGAGGATGACTGGATTATTGATGATGGTAAGTTGCAGTCTCTTGAATCCACTGCAGATATACTGTGCGCGCAAATGAGTCAGCTGTTGTTGAAGTAATATCCCTCTTCTTTCAGATGGAACAGGATATGTGGAGGATGGACGAGAAATCTTTGACGATGATTTAGACGATGATGCATTAGAAAACAACAAAGGTAAACACAAGGAGTGGACTAAGTTTTAAAGAGTGGGAGAACATTTTGAATACATTTTGTTTGTTCAAACAGGAAAAGGAGGCGCCAAAGGGGCGGTCAAACAGAAAGCTGTGAAGAAATCAGTCGTAGCGAAGCCTAACACCATCAAGAGCCTCTTCATGAACAGTAATGTCAAGAGGCCCGCTGAGGTGAGTCTTTGTTGGTATCGTTGAGTTGTTTGTGTGTTTGCTTTTATAACAAGTGTGTCCTGTACATGTTAATATCATGGACTGTTTTGTGTTTTCATTTCTTCATTGTACCAAATTGATATACGTTTTGACATTTCAGTATGTAGTATATATATTTTGTACCTTTGTCTCTTGCAGAAAGATGTTGACCTGTCCAAAGATGACCTACTGGGAGATATCTTACAGGATCTGCACTCCGAGGTTGGTAACATTTCATCTCAAAGGTGCTTAGCTTCAGTGTAATGTGTTTTACTCTATAGTGGTTGAGTATTGATTTGTGTGTGTTCCACAGTTAGTCAAATGGTTCCTGTACATTGACATTTACATTAAGGCCTTTAGCTTTCATTTTGTTTCCATCCATTTCAATATGCTTTGGTTTGCTTGCTGCTTAGTCATGATGATGCATTGTCTCCTCATCTTTTTAGCCTAATGGCCTACTTCTTTACCTATTACTGTCTTTGTCCTGGCCAATGCGTTACGGTGTTTCCATTTCAAATGTGCCTCGCTCTCTTTCCAGAAGCCCACTCTTCTGACTCCTCCACCAGTGGTCACTCTAAAGAAAAAGAAGTCTCTTGGATCACCCATGAATCCCTTCTCCATCAAACCTCAGATGCCGAAGGTATCGTCCCACTCATAATGACTTTTTGGCGTATTGATTAGCTATTTACTTAAACATTTAGAAATTCCAGCTTTATGTCAATCTGTAAACTGTCTAATTTGGAACTCTAAGTTAAATAATCTTGATACATGACACATGTCACCCCTGTGATAGCAGGAGACACCTCCAGCTACAGGGTTGAAGGCCAAAGTGATCCGGCCGCCGCCTTCAGACCCTGCTCCCAGGCCGCCAATCCGTCCTCGTCCCTCCACATCCGCTCCTCCTCTGGAAAAACCGAGGCCCAAGGTGGAGGAGGTGAATGAAGAGGAAGGTGAGGAAGGATCACAGCTCTCTAGCTTTTTTCTGCATTCTCTGAGCTACCTAGAACACATACTGACCTTTTGTGATAATGTGTTTCCTAGTGAGTGATGCTCTGGCATTCGACGGGGTGGACTTTGATGAACCGATGGAGGTTGGCCTTGAGGAGGAGAAGCCTGATTTGAAAGATGATGCAGAGCCAGAACCTAAAGCAGCAGCAGAAGTTAAAGTTGAGCCCAAAGATGAGAATCAGGATCCAATCCTCTTGTGAGTTGTTCATCTACTTAGTTAGCAATCCACTGCTTTTCAAGTGGTACGAGGCTTGTGCTGCTTGCCTTCATATACACCCTTTCTTGTGAGTACTCTGGAATGATGAGTGTAAAGTTAACATGAACCACAGAGCTACAACAGTCATAATATAATGTAACTATCCTTTGAGTTGTCCTTTGGGGACATGGGGAGGCTTCACAAATGAGTTGTAGCATCTTTGTTCCTTTGCCCTTTTACAGGTCCAGCAGATTCGGAAGCTCTTGGGGACAAGAGGAGGATAGTGCAGTCAGTGAAGCTCCTGCAGAGGTACAGGTGGACTCCAGCCGACTCCCGCTGGTGGAGGGAGCAGACGGGGAGCAGGTGTTCCGCTTCTATTGGTTGGACGCCTTTGAAGACCCATACAACCAACCAGGTGAGGGAGATTTACATCTGTAGACAAAGTAAAGAGGACACTATGCATGCAGTCCCATATTCTGAAACTACTTTTCAGGTTTGTTTGGCACATCCTGATATTTGAATTTATTTGTGACCTAGGTGTGGTGTACCTGTTTGGAAAAGTGTGGATTGAGTCAGCGAGGTCTCATGTGAGCTGCTGCGTTTCTGTCAAGAACATTGAGCGGTCCATGTACCTGCTGCCTCGAGAATATGTAAGTCTTGTGTTTTGTCAAGGAGTTGGTATCACTTTTAAATTTTAAATGACACCGTTATGACTGGTTAAAATAGAGCAAAACTGAATATGTGTTTCTATGAGCAAGTACAGTAGAAATCTTTGTCTCATGTTTGAGGTAAACAAATCATCTGTGGAAGAAAAATATTTCCCTTGTTTATTTCTGTATTCCACTGAGATTAAAGTAAGTCCAAATGCAGATGATTTTAAAGTGTTCCCATTAGTTTTTTAGTACAGTCTTATCAACACTTCACTATATGAATATATTATTAGCTCAAATCTTAAAAAGTAATGGTAAAGTTAATGTCATTACTGCAGAAGATGCAGTAAACTGCACATTCCTCCAGCAGCAATCTGTAGATAAATTGCTAATTTATAGTGTTTGTCTTGTGATCAACAGAAAACAAACCCCAAGACAGGTGAAATCTCAGACATTCCTGTTGAGATGATGGATGTCTACCAGGAGTTCAACGAGCTCTCTGAGAAGTTCAAGATAATGAAGTTTAAGTCTAAGGTCAGTACCAACCTCTTGTTAATAACGTTGTTACATCACTGTAATTTTCTGAAAAGAGTTATTTTGTAGGTTGATTTTTGTGTCTCTTTCTTCTTGCAGAAAGTGGACAAGAACTATGCTTTTGAAATTCCTGATGTGCCCAGTCATTGCGAGTACCTGGAAGTCAGATATTCTGTAAGCAGATATACTTATAGACTATTCCCAGAATGTCCAGGCCAATGCCTCTTTGTGTTGAAAGCACACTGATCTCTTTGATTAATGTTGTCTGTGCAGGCTGAGTTCCCTACGCTGCCTTCTGACCTAAAGGGGGCGACCTTTTCCCACATTTTTGGAACAAACACTTCCAGTCTGGAGCATTTCCTCCTCAGCAGGAAGATTAAAGGCCCTTGCTGGTTGGACATCAAGACACCACGTAAGGACGTCTAACATTTGTATCAAAAATAACACCTTGTGTCTAGTTTCTGTTTATTTAAGAAGAATTTAATTACGAATTTTGCACAAATCAAAACATTTCAGGGTGCCATACTTAAAACCATTTGCTATACTGTTAATGTAATTAAATAAAACTGTATCATGTCTGAAATATCAGGACAAGTGTAATGAAAACATTGTTTTTGAACCCTGCACACTTCTGGAAATTGCTGGTCTAACACTTCTACTGCGTCCATGTTAGAGCTGATCGGCCAGCCGGTCAGCTGGTGTAAAGTGGAAGCTCTCGCGCTGAGGAGTGACTTGGTCACTGTGATCAAAGACCTGCCACCTCCACCCATCACCGTCATGTCCATCAACCTCAAGACTGTCCAGAACCCCAAGACACACCAAAATGAGGTCAGACCACTGTCAGCTGTACACATGATCCTGTATTATGTTTAGCAGGGATTCTTTTTGGCAGTAATAGATGTGTTATTTCATGGTGAGCTCAGACTAAAACACTAGGGGATCATTGAGTTAATGCAGTAATTTTCCTCTGCAGATTGTATCCCTAGCTGCACTTATCCACTACGGGTTCCATATGGATAAAGCTCCTCCTCAGCCTCCTTACCAGACTCACTTCTGTGGTGAGTTATTCATATTTGTGTTTTTGCTTTTTTCATTGTGTGACATAAATGGAACAGAAATGACATGGCATTTTATCACATACGTATGTAATAGGCCTGTTGTTTTATGAAAAAAAAAACCCTCAGCCATAAAATAATATGGCATATTATTCAGTCTCATTAACATATTGAACAACTGTTAGAATATTAAAATTCTGTCAAGAAATAAAAGAAATGTGTAAAGTCTGTGTTTTTGTCTTTTCAGTGATCAGTAAACCAGCTGATTGCATCTTCCCTTATGACTTCAAAGAGGCTGTGAGGAAGAAGGTGAGTGTCTGTGTTGTTATGGACCTCAGCTTGTTTGCTTTTTAATACGGAAACCAGAAAAACTAGTAATTTAGATTTTTTGGGGAAATAGTTTTTTCTGAAAAATTGTATTAAAATGGAGCTTAAACTCTTTTACCTTGCAGGTATAATTTATAGAAAAAACATTTTCGATTGAAGCAGAGTATATGTCAGCAACAGGTGAGTTTATTTCAGTGTGTGTGACGATACTAATGGTCTGATCTGTTGTTTTTGTAAGAATGGGAAGGTGGAAATAGCTGGCACGGAGCGGACACTGCTCGGCTTCTTCCTGGCTAAGATGCACAAGATTGACCCTGATGTGCTGGTGGTAAGTAGACAACAGTAGGAATCTTATAAAGAATTATTTTGCAACTCTTGACAAAATTAATAAAGCTAGTAGATATTTTTTGTTTTCTCCGTTTATGGTAGTTTATTATTTACATGTATAAGTTGCCTTCAAACTTGCCTTTCTTTCTCCTGGCTGATAGATCCTTTAAAATTCCTCAGATTTTCTTGTTAATAAAAACAACAGCTGTTAGTGACTTAGAAGTGGAGATGAAGGTGCTTTTTTTTTCCTGAGATAAGAAGCCTGTATTCCCGTTTGCTTCCTTTAGGGTCATGACATCTTTGGTTTTGACTTGGAAGTTCTTCTCCAACGGATCAATACCTGCAAGGTTCCTCACTGGTCTAAAATTGGACGCCTGAGGAGAGTCAATATGCCCAAATTAGGGGTAAGAGCAAAACCAGATTTAAGTAGAAATGGTTTATTTCGTTTCTGCAACATAGCGCACGTCATGTAACACGCTATGTTTGTGTTTGTATATACTTTTGCGTTTGTAGGGTCGTGGTGCCTTTGCAGAGAAGAGCGCAACCTGTGGCCGCCTGGTGTGCGATGTGGAGATCTCAGCCAAGGAGCTGATTCGCTGTAAAAGTTATCATCTGACTGAACTCACAGCACAGGTGCTAAAGATGGAAAGAATCACAGTCCCCCAGGAAGATATCAAAAATCTCTACAGGTGAGTAAGTTTAAAGGGTCATTTAGTCAAGAGCACAACAATAGATTACATCACTGGCATCAAATGTAGCAGGTCTCTTGTTCCTGTGGTTAAAAATAAGTAAATGCTTTTTAAATTTTTTTTTAATTTTAACCACACTTTATTGCTCAAAGACATCTGTGTGGAAAATGTATGTGTATTCTAAAATCTGCGTGTTTGCTTGTCAGTGACTCTCCTCACCTCCTCTACCTGTTGGAGTTGACGTGGACCGATGCCAAGCTGATTCTCCAGATGATGTGCGAGCTCAACGTGCTGCCTCTCGCCCTGCAAATCACCAACATTGCTGGCAATGTCATGGTAACCCAAAGCAACGCCACCGTTTCCTTAAATTGATTTTAAAGGTCGAGTTTGCGATTCTGGAGAAAGATTGTTGATATTTATCCGGTTGCCACATTTAGACTCCTAATTTGGCATCACTTTTTTTCCCATTTACAGAACCAGGGCTCTGTACAAAACACCAGATATTTTTTTAGCTTGCATACAAAATAGACAGCGAACAGACCACAGGGAGATGTTCGCTCAATTAGACTAAAAGCATATAGTATTAGAATTGCACATTAAAATTAAAATTCTATCTCTGGATAACATTTCTCAAAATCAAGAATGTCTTCTCTGACGACATTTGGGAGGAAAAAAAAAAAATTCAAACCAGCCTGACAAAACTGACAGGGATGGACAAGAGCAGCAGCTCTCTCACTTATTGTTCAGTCAGAGAACAAATTGTGAAAACTGATGTCACAAACAAAACATCTTTCAGGCAGAAGTAAGAGTTAAAGCTTTAAATCTGAAAAGCCTTTAACCATGCTCAGAGCAAGTGTGTTCTGTTCAGCTGGTGTGTTTCAGGGACAGAGAGCCATAGAAAATATAAAAAAAGCCAGTGCAGTGGGTCACCTTGAGCATCAGTGGTAGAAAAAGTAAAACACATAAAATGTTAGACTTTATTTGGAATAGGACTACTAAAAGAAGGTCACTTTCAAGCTTTGATACTGGTCAGGTCATACACAGCCTCCGGCTTGTTGCTCTTTTTCATTTGGCTGTTATTTCTTTTCTGACTCCATCAGCTGATTTCTCTTTGCCTCGTCTCCGCAGTCTCGTACTCTGATGGGCGGCCGCTCTGAGAGGAATGAGTTCCTGTTGCTGCATGCCTTCCATGACAAAAACTACATTGTCCCTGACAAACCCTCCTTCAGAAAGACCCAGCAGGAGGTGGTAAAGATACACACAAATGCACACATTGTTTTTCTGGAGTCGTGCCCCCTCTACCCCAAATCAGTCATTTGACCTGCTTTCTTTCTTTTTTTCCTGTTTTCCAGGTTGAGGGAGAAGATGATGGGGATGCAGGGAAAGGCAAGAGGAGGAAGAAAGCAGCCTATGCTGGAGGTCTGGTGCTGGATCCTAAAGTTGGTAAGTACTGAATCCTCCTGAAATGTTCCATTGCATCTATACTTCCTTGTGATATACTTGTTCATATTTTCTTCATACTTTTTAACCTCCCTTTCACTCTCTATTCAGGTTTCTACGATAAGTTTGTGCTGCTGCTTGACTTCAACAGCCTGTATCCCTCAATCATTCAAGAGTTCAACATCTGCTTCACCACTGTGCAGAGGGAGGCTTACAACGCACAGAAGAAGAGGGAGGTGTGTGCATAACTCATTCACAAATGTGTAATTGAAAGCCATCTATCGTGGCCCGACACAATTTACAGGTTGATCACAATGTGAAGGTACAAAAATGTAAAGCGCCTCAATATCCAGGAACAGAGCAAAGTTACACACTTCTAAAATCTTGCTCCTATGGTAACAGGAGGACGAAGCAGAGGAGATTCCCGAGATTCCTGATTCTGGTCTAGAAATGGGAATCCTGCCCAAGGAAATCAGGAAGCTGGTGGAACGGCGTAAGCAGGTCAAACAGCTCATGAAACAGCAGGACATCAACCCGGATCTCTACCTGCAGGTACACGAACATTTACACTGTTTGTGCATCCATACACATGTCCAGTGAAACACGGACTGTGGATAATAGCTACACACAATGATCATGACCACTTTCACAGCCACAAAAATTCACATAGACCGAGTTGTTTTTTGTATTTCAGTTAGTAAACAAGCACACCTACCTTGTGTTTTGGTCCTGTAAGGTTATTATTTCCTAATTTTCCCTCTTTAGAGTCATTAATTACAAAGATGTGGTATAATGTGGACACTCCTTAAAATCATGAGTGTCAGACACTGTCCCCTTCCAGCCTTGAAAAGTACTGTTAGATAAGCTGTATAATGGATTCTGGTGCTGAAATTGCGAGAAATACCACAAAATGAATTTGAATAGCATTGCAATTAAGTTTTTGCTATTGATTAAATCATTTTAAATGCCAAACGTACGATAGTTTGAGCCCCACAAATGTGAGGATTTGCTACTTATCTCTGTTTTCTATTATTGTAAGCTGACATTTAAAACTGAGAATACAGAATTTCGCTTGCTTGGTAGGTGCGTCTCTGCTGTCTGATTAAAAACAACTATTTTATTTACTGTTGGGACAACATCTGATGTATCACGTCTATGTTAGGATTTTTGTAAAATATTACTGTGAGAAGTGCAATAGCCTTTTATTTGTTGGGCATAATTTGTGTGTTTTTGTCCCGCAGTACGACATTCGTCAGAAGGCTCTGAAGCTGACTGCGAACAGTATGTACGGATGCCTGGGATTCAGCTACAGCCGCTTCTACGCCAAGCCTCTTGCTGCCCTGGTCACACACAAGGGTAGAGAGGTGAGTCATGCATTCCCACTACATAAATACATTATTAATACTGCAGTCTTGATGAACACCGAAAGTTTTAATTGTGGAACCTCTGATGTATGAGACAGATCCAGAGAAGCTAAGCTTATGGTTAAACATCAATAGTACCTTTATTCATGCACACATAGAGCAAACATGGTGCTATACAAAGACACAAAACCTACTGAGACTGATTAAATACCAGTTTTGTTCAACAATCTTTTTTGAGAGCTGTCTTAGTGATAAAACAGGAGTACAATAGAAAATGAAGTACTCCCATTTTCATCCACAAGAGGGCACTGCTGCATCATATTCCATATTGCTCACCACTCCTTTCTTTATCCTATTTTCCTTCTGACTTTTTTTTCTATCTTCTTTTTCTTTCTGGCTTCGTCCTGTGACACATTTATTATTCATTCTCCAACAAATGTCTCTCTTTTTCCCTCACCCCGTGCCCTTCTCCGTTCTAAATGATTATTCTTTCAAGTTCATTTTGTCAGACCTGTTTTAGTGTCTGTGATATCAATAGCGCTATGTAAGTATTTTCCAATAACAAAATCCCCCAGGCACACACATGAAACTCATGCTCTCTCCATGTAAAATCTGACTGTGTGGGGACTTCTTTCAACACACAGAAAGCAGAGCGACATGGGCGTGTTCGCTCAATAAATTGGTGCAAAGCAGCATGTGTACCGCATGACATAAACAGCTAAAGCTGGTATTGTAACTGAACACCACACACACACACACTCTCCCACTATGTCAGTGGTAGTACTCATGTTCATTTAATGAGCTCTAACAGTACAAGTCCTCAGCAGAGGCATCAGGCTTTGCCTCAGGGGAGTCCTTCATTAAGATCCCCTTACACACTCATTGTGTTCCCTAATAGAGGGCAGGGCAGTAACTCACTGTGCGTGTTTGTTATTTTGTCAGTCCGTTTGTGCCTCCAGTCATGCTCGTTGTTCGGCTGACAGAGCTACATTGTTAAAGTTGTGTATTTGATTCGCTGGTGCAGGTGGGAGTTTCTTTCCCTCCACACTTGCTGCTTATATCTAGTAGCTTGTATCTGTCAACAGCCAGAGGTGGATGGGTTAATTACATTTTACCTCCTGCTTGCTTTACTTTATCCAGGAAGCATCACCAGTCTCAGGCAAGAAGTAGGCTACATTTCCATTATTTAAAAAGGGAAGTTGGCAGTTGTGTTCCACTACTCAATAATTTTATTGATTACTGAAGTTAGTCTTTCTGGTTTACAACCTTAATTTAATTAAGTAAAAGCCATTACAGAACTGGCAAAAAAATGTTCTAATCACCTAATCCACAGATTTTCTGTCTATAAGTAACAAACAATCCCAAACCTAAAGGTAGCCACGATCAAGAAATCTAAACTAATTTGAGGAAAATGTGGACATGCTGTTAAGCTCAAAATTATTAAAATTGCAAATTTGATTTATGACACAAACAAGTAACAAAAGATGGTAAGGTATTGTGTTCGAGATCCATCCATCCATTATCTATACACCGCTTAATCCTCACTAGGGGGGCTGGAGCCTATCCCAGCTGACTTAGGGTAAAGGCAGGGGACACCCTGGACAGGTCACCAGTCTATCACAGGGCTACACTTTGAGACAGACAACCAAGCACACTCACATTCACGCCTATGAACAATTTAGAATCAACAATTAACCTCAACATGTTTTTGGACTGTGTGGGAGGAAGCCGGAGAACCCGGATAGAACCCACGCTGCACGGGGAGAACATGCAAACTCCATGCAGAAAGATGCTGAGTGTCCTCACTGGGATGCAAACTGGTGACCTTTTTGCTGCGAGGCAACGGTGCTAACCACCGAGCTACCTTGCAGCCCATGTGAGAGATGTTCATGATAAATTGTAACTATTTCTATTGTTAGTTTTAAAATTGTCTCTAAAAATGCTCTGTCCAAAATTATTCATGAAGTTGTAATAATGTGGGTTTTTTTTTGACACAATGCAAGCTTTCATCCAATTCCAATTGATTTTCATATTTTATACCAAACATTATAATTTGCTACAAGTTGAACAGTTTTTTAGTCACATACTAGTCAATGGCTGAAACCAAAGAGCTTAGTCAGCTTGTTATTAGGGTCCATCACTGACACATAGCTGCAGCTTGTGGTTGCTCACAAGACGGGGAAAAGCTATAAAAAGCCTGGTCCAAGTGTTATCCGAAGTTATAAAAGGTTTCACACTGTGAAAAGTCTCAAAGGATTTGGTAGGAAGCCAAAACTGACCCCTGTGCTGTTCTGGCAAGAGTTGTATTATGAGAGGTCAAGAAGAATCCAAGAATCCCCACCAAGGTCATCCTGATGAATCTGAGCAGTTCTGATACCAACAACTCAAGACAGACACTAAGATACGAACCAAAGCTTGCCTAGCCTTTGTAAAAGATCACCTGTACAAAGAAGAAAGCTTCTGGTCATTTCTGTGGTTAGATGAGATGAAAATGGAGTTGTTTGGACACAGGGACATGGTTTTTGTTTGATGAAAGGGAGGAAAAGTGTTCAACCACAGGAACACCAATCTCACTATTAAACATGGAGGTGGATGGTTTGTCAGTCACTGGGTCAGGCAGCCTCATCTAAGTAAAGGGCATCCTGAGAAAAGAGGACTGTAGCAAGATTCTGGAGGATAACATCAGACAGTCTGCACAAAAATTTGGCCCTAGACAGTATTGAACCTCTGTAAAAGACAATGGTCTATAACATATAGCCAAATAAATCAAGAACTGGTTAACAGAAAACATGAATTTTGACCTGAATCCCATCAAGAATCTGTGGAGGGAACTAAAGTCAAAGACCACGATAATATTGCAATAGATGAGAGGTGAGTTATCGCATGGATATAAATAATGTCGAGCTTAACTGTGAAAATACAGACCCTAAAATACACCACCAGTGCATGATTGCCATGTTGTGTTCATGGCATTGTCATGTCTGATACAACATGGCTGCAAATGGTAAGGAATTACCTCAGTGGGAGAAGGTGCAAGAGCAATACTCGGTCACTGAACATACCTCCCTCTTCTAGCAGCTGTGGTTTAACTGTCATAGGTGTGAGTGTGCATGCAAAAGGTGTTAGCGAGATAATGTCTATAGGTGGATTTATATGAATGCAAGTTTGCGTTTTACCCAAACACTGAATGAAAAGATGGCAGGAGAAGACTTTTCCAATGAGATCTCAAACACAATTAGTGCAGTTTAATCGTGATGTATTATACAGAGCAGAGCAGTTTTTGTTATTTAGCCTACACTCACTGACAAGTATGAACTGGACAAAATAATAGAAATACTGCTCAGTATAATTCAGCATAGTTTAACAGGAGCAGAAAATGCAGCTTTCAGAATGACCATAGTGTTCAATCAACATCTCCCTGAGACAGCTGTAACAAAAACACAGCAAGAGCACCTATTACTTTAATAGACCGCATTGGTTGTAGGTATGTATACCTAATAAACTGCCAGCTGAGTGTATGTTTTTATAGGGATAGTTGGATGTCATACTTTAAAGCTTCTTTTAAAACTTGCTGATGGCCCAGTTCGCCTCCAATGTTTTCTCAACCTTCTTAAGTTACCCAGTGTGCTGAGAGAACGATAAACAAATTGGATTGTGTTCTATTAGGACTTAACCGCATTAGTACCGTACATACAGTGAAGAGTGATACGACACATTGGAGAGACGCGTATCAAAAGGTCATCAGCCGGATCCACAGTCTGCTGAGCCCACAACATGTGTCTCAGTTTGCTGATGTAGCAGGAGATCCTACGCCACACGATTTTAGTGTTTTGTTTACTTTGTATCTATGATCCTAGACACAACTCTATTTATACTGCAGATTGTATGCTTCGGGAGAATTTGGCATCAACACAACACAGGGAGTCCCACTGTAAATAAGAAGGCATGTTGTTGAAGATGATTTAGTGCTCTTGGAAATCTGCATTCTGACATTTGTTGGAAGTTTTGTTCAAAACACTGAAAAAGACACTCAAGTTAAAAATTTGCATTTCATGTAAATGAAAGATGATTCTGCCAAGTGTCAAATCACAATTTGGAGTTAGTTTGTAGGTAACTTTTTGCTTATCCGGAAAAAATTAAAGGAAAAGTTTGGAGGGTTGTGTTCCCAGTACCTGAATTGTCACTCTCTGACCGCATGCGCACTGATGGTCTGATGGCAAAGTAGCAGAAAGCAGTAATAGTGTTAATAAAAATTGGGCAGTTTTACTGGATTTGTATGGAGCCCTAAAGTTCAAAGACTGTAAGCCAAGTAGTTCTTGGTAGTTTCCGACTGCAGCGAGCCAGAAAAGCCAGCTGGCATTTATAGCTGGGTTTCTAGTGTATTTGTGGGTATTGCCGTTTGCACTCCCGCCCCCGTTTTAATCGTCACATTTGCACTCTACTCTCATCTCATGATTTAGGAGGCTTTTTATTTTTATAATTGTAACATGTACACTGATCACTACTCTTCCCGCAGTGTAAATCCACCCTCCCGCCCCTCTGCGCGTTTCCTGCATCTGTTTGGCCGAGTGTCCGGAGTGAATGTGCATGTGTTCTCTGTATTTATTGATTGGCCTCGCTCTCATCTTTCTCTCACTCTCATTTTAAATTGAGGCCTAGCCCCCCTGTGGCAGGATGGGTCAGGCCGGGGGCCACAGTGGTTTCTCAGCCCTGGGAGGGTTCAGATGAGAGGGATTAGAGGGAGTTGACAGACCCTTGGCTGTGGCTCTTCTGATCAAATTTGCCAACTTAAGAGGGGAAAGCCCCCACTTATCTCCCCTCCTGACTCTTGTGTTTGTTGCTTGTGTGTGTGTGTGTCTTCTAACTATCTATGTCTGTAGATGTGATGGTGTTTGTGTGTGTGTGTGTGTTAATACCCATCTGTGTGTGTGTGTGTGTGTGTGCACAAGTGCTACTGGCCGAACTCTGCCCTTTGTCGGGGGACCATTTGTTGTGGCCCT